AGCAAATATCTTTTCTCTTAATTTCTACTTATCATTACAAAATCTCATGTGAAAGATTTGAATTTGTGAGTAGAATGAAAAGAAAGTGTAAATTAATAAATAATTAGCGACATAAATGAAATGAAAAAAAATGTGAAATCCAGCCCCTGGCAATTCATTTCGTTATTCAAACAGAATGATTAGTTGCTATAATAAAAGAAAAAATTCATCATTAAAAGATGCTTCGAGCTTATAGCGAATTTCCTTTTCTATCTCTCATGAATGCATTCTACAAATGGACAACATTACTACGAACGTATTATTGATGGGCTTCTGCTTTAGTTTATTAATTATAAATAACTTCAATCTTTTATTTTTTTTTGCATACGTCTTACTTATTTTTTGATTTACATCTCCTTTCAAGTGCATTCTCGTCATTTTGAAAAATATCACAGGAATAATCAATAAAAAAAAACGGTCGTTGCAACATTAGTCATAACTCATCTACACAACCGCTCATTTATCTAACCGTCCGTATATAAGGAAAAGCTTTCTCATAACTTTTGATTTGTTTAAGTACTACCAAACTTCTGCTAAATTCTTTCGTTCTTTCTAGAAATTATTAATACCAATCTTTTTATTAATGTAAAACACACCTCTGATATGATATGATCACTATTCCGTGTAGAGAGCGGATAATGCCAATCACAATATGTTTTCATTTTAAAGCAACACATATCAGAAAGACAGTTGGATCACAATACATAAAAATGAACAAAATTTCACTGCTCAAAACTAGAAATCCTTATTCCTTTCTTCCAATATCGATTCTAACTATAGTTAAGATCAATGCTTAAATTTAATCTTCCGTTGTACAAGATTCTTTCCGCTCCAACTGCCACAAATTCAAGGCACTTTCGTTATCTAACGTTGCAAATGACGGTTTCATAGAATGCCACCTAAACTTTCATGCTTGAAGTTAATGAAGATATTCTTCGGATGATGATTTTAACTTTAAATTTTGAACAAAAACCAATAATATATAAATGTTCTATAGCATCTACTGAAGTTTTATTTACACTTCTCTTATCTAAGTTAAAAATATCAAGTATTATCAACAAACTTGAGGACAATGCATTTCCTTGTACATTTCACAACACATGATGATTCAGGCATTTGAAATACATCCCGTAAATCACATAGACTGATTCTAAAATTGATTTTAAAAATATGTGAGAAGATAAAAATAAAATTCTCATAAATTAATTATAGTTAAGTAGGAAATTTAGAAGCAATAGTCAGAAAACACAAAATGGTAGGCGAATATTTTCAATTTTTATTTAAATTTAACTCTCAAAGCTTTACTACTTCTTTTCATCAGCAGTAGCCATAAATCGTTGTGAGCTAGCAATACGAAGACACAAAATTGGTAGCGTAGAAATCCGTTTGGTCATAATTTTCTTGGTTGATGATGCATCATATACATGCGCTTCACCACTTCCATCACCACGTACCAAAATTCGACCGCTGCCATCCACATGGAAAGCACCTGCTGCTTAACAATTAACAAATCATCAATAATTTTTATGATTTGATGGTGCAAAAAAGCATAAAATTCTACCCATATTTATTATACGGAGAGATTGAAAAGTTTTTTTTTTTGCGAAAATGAGGAAGAAGACATCGCTAATTTGATCCTTAGGATTATTTCGTATCACAATTTCAGGATAAATAAATCCAATAAAATATAGCTTAAGAAGAGGATAAGTAAGAGCATTACGTATCTAAACTATATATTACTACTAAAAATGATAGTAATTTAATTATTTTTGGGCAAAAAATTTAATGAAGACAAAGAACATGAAGAACTATTAGAATTGTGAACTGCTATATGCTCTACACTGTCTTCTTGTTTTCCAAAGCTGTACATATACCTCCAGATTTTGCAAGCGGATCGAATACTCTGACAGCTTCAGTGACACGCGTATCCCAAATACGGATCGTTTTATCGGTCGATGAACTAGCAAATAGACAACCACCCCAAGTGCAAAGTGCTGTTACCATACCTATAGCATAAGCTCAAATTTTAAGGAGTTATTTTTCGATTTTAACTGAATCTTCTTTTCCTACTGATTTAAAATCAATTTCAATTCCTCAGTTCTAGATCATATTTTAATCTTCTTCATCTCTAATTAAAATTTCTTTTTTTTGTAAATTGCTGTCAATATTCTCATAACCGGGATAACATACCTTTATGACCTTTCAAGATACGAAATGTAGTGCCAGAAGAACAATCGGTAATACAAATTTGACGACCCGTACCGGAGAACAGGATATTGGAATGATTGGCTAAATCTTCCATAAAAGTAAGTGCCCGTACAGATTCGTTCATCGACATACTAATCCTTCGGTTACCTGAATTTACTTTAACACGTTTAAAGAAACACATCGCTCATGATAATAGAATTCATAGATAAAAAAAGCCTCCTTTACTAATAGATAACTGATTGCTTGTTACTGTCTTACAACTGATTTATTGTTAACTAAAAAAACAAATGCTATTGGAGCTCATTGCTAGAGAGAGAGAAAAACGAGAACCAAATTATGAAGATTTTACAATAACATCTCACTTTGTTCAATAATAATTTTAAAATCATTTTAAAATCAAAATTACTGCTTTATTTAGACCTGATTTAGATAGATCTGCTCGAAATGAGGATAGCTCAATTTTATTCTCATTTGAACAGGTAGCAATCAAATCAGCAGTTGGATTAATTGCAATGTCGGTGATTCTGGACTGATGTCGTTCGCATAAATCTGATACTATCAATTCTCCATCCCTTAATAGTCAACTAATAAAATGTTAATTAATATAATCAAATTAGAATTTTAATCGTCTAGCAAAGAAAATTGTAATTGGTAGATGTATCAATAATTTTGTCAAATGTATGAGTATCCTTACTCCTTTTCTTTATCATTTCTGCAAGGACGGCAATATTTCTCTAATTTTCTCAGCCGAAGATAGCCTTCTCCTCCCACATTTTATAAATACGACATTCGATTACATGTATGGAAAAAATACAAAATTTGCATTATCGAATAATTCACGTTTCGTTAGTAATAAAAAAAAAAGTATCGTTAGTAATAAAAAACAAGAAACAAATGACACACGAAACGCATAAGGTAACGAGTTGACCGTTATCTTCACCGATCAAAAAAGATGATCCATCAGGACTGATATCGAAACAGGATGCTCTCTGATTCAAGCAATACTTTGTACTTATCCACTTTGGCTTGTTTGAACTCTACAAATTATGCTTAATTTAGAGACAAACTATACGCCTTAATTTTATCACTCTGCTTTCATTTCCAAATAATTACAAAAAAAAGTTTGAAATTTTGAAAAAAGGAATTTTTTATATTTTTTATAAGAAAAAACAAATGTTCTAATATTGTGTTCAAATTTCAAAAAAAATTTGCCAGTGAAGATTTATTGAAAATTTTTTATATCTCTCATTAAATAGAATCTGTTATATATTTTCTTCATTACCAAACTATGGTGCATAACACTTGATTATTAAAATATTAGTGCTAATTCATTGTCATAATTTCATCAAATAAAGATTTGACTATATAAATTAGATTATGATAATTTCAAATACATTAAAAAAATTGCTTGTATAGAGAAATTACCTGAGAGAAAAGAGTATTAAAGATACTAAAATTAGATGACATCTTTTTTTTCCATGCAATTTTTATACAATTTATCAATAATACAGCTCTTTCAGTTTTCGATCATCCATTGCTTTCCGATCATCCTCAATGCTGAAATGAAAAAATATAAGAAAAGGAAAAAAGAATGCAAACACTGAATGAATGAAAAAGGAAAAAAGAACCAATGATGTTTTTTTTGTATATACTTTTTCATTCGTTTCCTTTTGATATTTCACTTATCTCGGAGTAATTTGATATTATTTCAATGATTTTACTTATTAATTTCGTTGTCAAATAACATTATTAAAAAGAAATTCGCATGCTCCCTCTTTTATATTATCTATTCTCTTTCCTTCAATTATACCATAAATCTCTTCAAGACCATTAAATCGATTTCGACATAAACATATATTCTTTGAATACATCGACATCGAGGTTTCTCTTAAATCATTTAAAGAGGAATATGAAGAATAAGAGATTGTCCACTCAGTTGTGCTGTCCTCTAAAAACGGTAATGGGAATAAAATTAGCCAATGAACAGTTCAGATTAAGAAGCCAAAGCCAAGAGAAACTACTTTCGCTTATTTCACATAAAAGAAGAGATTTTTTTTTTGTTGCGTCCTAATCACTGCCATAACCAATTTGGATTTTAATAATCTGAAACCAAATTACTCTTCCATCTATCCAGCGCTTAATTATAGCATCACACCTCTCATTACTTTTAGTGAACTCTAAATTCAAACATGCTGTGTTACGTTGAAGAATATGCTGATTTCGATATTCACAACAAATATAAGTAAAAAAGACAAGAATCAGACAAGAGAAGATTTCTGCTGTCTAAATTTCTGAGAAAAACAAGAGAAGAGAAAAGAAGTTTAGAAAAGAGGATGTAAGAATCAAGATCGATAGAGAGAAAACATGAAATTAGTAATTTTAGAGAGTTTCTAAAGGTTATTATCAGAAGACATCATATGAATCTATCAACAAAGCTCGTTTCATTTATGAGAATTACAGTTAGCTGCATTCAAATTTGATAAATAACTTTCATAAATATGTACACAAAACTAATTGTCATTATGTTTTACTCACTTCCATTGTTATTTCTTTAAATGCACGAAAATTTCCCAACAAAATTGAGTTACAATAATTTTACCTAAATGATCTTGTCAAAAAACATTTTGAAGAGAAATCAAAAAATTTCAATAGCAAGAATTCTGAAAAAAAAATGAAAATAATGCATTATGCTATTTTCATCTTCATTTCATCCTACAAATATTCAAAAAAAAGGAAATCTGTGAGAGAAAATGATGAAATAAGAAAATGCAATATCATAAGCATTTAGTGGAACGTAGAAGTTAACATATTAAGTTTGAATGTATACGACTGAGGAGAGACAGAAAAACCATATATTCGAACTGAAAAAAAAATTGTGAGCGGAAAGTTTTGAAGATTTAAATCACAAAAAATATATTTGTTCCATACCATCTATCATACAATAGATCAATGTTAAATCATCAATAAGCTATCGCTAACCGTTCGAGAAAGCGTTCAGGAGAGAGATATATATGATCGGTAGTATTCCACACCTACCGTGCTGATGGTGCTGCAAAGTCTATGAACGAGGAAAGGATGTATATTTCTGCTGATTGCCCCTTCCTTTTACCCATCCATTACGAAGTATCATTAAATACACTCCTCTGCACACCATAACTTACACCTGCAGTTGAACAGGCATTGCGTGCAGACAAACATCCATCGTTTATTTGATTACTTTCTCCCATGTAAAGTATCTGTCACCATTTTTGATTGTGAAACAGAATTAATCGCTATTAGTAACTGTAGCAAAAGCTTTTGTTGTTCAAAAATAAATTAGCAAAATAAACAACAAACCTTCAAAATCACTCCCATTTCCATTCAATTTCTTATTTTCATCTCCTTTTCAGATTTGAATTTCTGAATTTCAAACTTTTGAAAGTTCAGTTCGTAAACAGAATTACTTGCAGTAGTGCAGCCATATGTCAGATAAAAACGATCCTTTGTATCACAGCAATACAAAAACGCAAGCTTGTTATAGTTAACATTTAAATGTTAACACTGATTTTGCTGATCTGTACTTTCGTTATTCCAATCTTTTATACATTTTTCAAGATTCATCCTACACACGAACAACAAGCTATCCCACCACTCCCAGTAACATCAGCTTCCTGCAAACTGTACCTAACAATGCTTCCGCTCAATTTGATTAACTATCTGCCACATCACCTCATGTTTACGGTCTATCCTCTGTTTTCAATTCATCCAACGCGTTTCTCAATATTTCAAACTAATTCCAAGTCTAACAACAAATAGCTAAATTTGCTGATCACTTGAAAAATTTCTGAAGCAGCACCTCCAAGCAGATATGCAATAATATCTTTATTTGGTTTAGGTTCATGAAAACAAAGAATGGCTTGTAGTGAAAATAAGAACAACTATTAGATACGAAATAGAATGTAAAATAAGAAACCGATAAAGTCCAAAAAAAGCGGATCAAAATCAATTACTCTCAAAATTATGAACAACTCCCCAAAATTTCTCATTTCTATGCACCCAGCTAAATTTCATCCTCAATCTATCTGACTTATTTAAAAGATAGATAGCAGTATTACATATCCACTTATGAAGATGGATATAATGAACTTGAATATAGAAGTTGGGAATCGAGAGAAAATGACAAGGATACATAAGCACTTAAATTCTGCACTTCAACCCGTAAAATTATCAAAATTTAATATTCTATAGTAATGTAAACTACTGCTTCCTTTGTTGTCAGGCGGAAAAAATCTTCCATGATCCAACGATGACTTACCTGATAAAATAAAAGTTACAACAGCAATAATTAGCCAACATAATTATTGGCATAAATACAGCAATAAAGATAAAATAAAATAAAAGTAAAACTGAAAGCTGATTAAACTGGAAAAAACCACCGTGCGAATGTTGTATAAATTATTGAGACAAAAGAAGCACGAAAAGAAATTAGGAGGCATAGCAATCGATGTTTTGTTAAAAAATTAAAGAGAAAAACAATGAAATACAACTGAGAGGCAAATTGTTATCAATTCACAACATTATGGCCACAAACTGGAACAACAGTTAAACCATATCTGGTTTTAACCGAAATGGTGGCATAGCGGCTGGGAATCATTATTAAGCGCATAACAACTTGCATTTCAAATATACTCCCCACTTCGTGACCATCTGCCCAATCACTGATAATCAAATTATAAATAATAAAACAATTGAAAAATCCCAAAGAGGGAGGTGCTAACAAATAAAGTAAGTTCACTATATTTTACTTCCACAAATAATTGAGCTCAAATTTCAACCAAAACCTAAGGAAGATATAAGAAATAATCAAATTCAAATAACTGAATGACCTGTACAAAACCGGCAGAAATACGTCTCCTCCTTTTAACAACCAAAACCACATACATTAAAAAACCCTCATTTTGACAAATCGCAAAACATTCAAATAACATAAATGGCTAGTGATGAATTAATAATTCCAGCTAACAACTATCAAAAACTTCACAACAATCGATTCTTGATGTGTCGTACATCCAATATGATTACCTAAAATGCAAAATATATAATTGATTTCGAATGACACCGTTTAGCCCTTATTCTAAAAAATTACGTACT